CCAATAGCAGTTAGAAAAATAACAGATTGGGGTAATTAGAATCAGTCCAAAGACAGTTTAGTTAGTTAAGTTAGTTGGGTAGAAACAGAGTAGTAGTAGGAGCAAAGAGTGTAGACTGTCACTCTTTCAAGTGGCGAAGGCCACTTGCCAAAGTGAGCAGATAGAACCTGCCATGCTACCACTTTCTCCTTCTATCCTCAACCTTTTGATCTTAATCATGACTGATCTTTTTTATTTTATTTTTCTCATATTTATCTCAATAAACATGAGTAGCTAAACTCAGTTAAGGGTCTAATCCCTACTATCTATATGTGAATGTTTTGATTCAATTTCTTATATGAGGCATTGTTTTTAGTTAAGTGTTTAAATTAACCTTTTAATTAACTGGCCATTTAACTGATTGTGCATGTATAGTTATGGAAATCTGAGAGGGGGAACATAACTTTAGAACGCCTTAAACTAGTCTATGACAAAGGAGGAAATCTACCCTTCGGTTTCAATCATCAACGAGAGTTAGGTGCATTGGCATAGGTGATCAATAAGGCTTAAGAACTCAATGGCTCGAATTAATGAATTATTCTGACTGAAAGGTAGGTAATTTGGTTAATCTGGGACTCTTTATTCTGTCTAAGAAGAATTTTAAAGAATACAAGTGCCTGATCAAACAATAAATCATATGCAACAAGAACTAAAATGGATCAAAACCGAATCATATAGATAGGAAGATGATTGGCCCTTCTGCTTCTTCTCTCTGTCAAGTGACTATTCTCATTACAATAGAGATAGAATATAAATAAAGTTTCCACAGTGATAAATCTATTTAGCTTATTTTCCTTTGTTTGTACATAAATTAGATTTTAAGCGGTTAACTGTCGTCTCTGTGGAAGGACTCTGCTTACCACTAATTAATAGTTTTAAGTAGGTATTTATTTTCTTTTGGGAGTGTCAACGACTCATTCACTATCCAACAAGAGCACAGAGGGAAGAGCATAGAAATCGTATCAGAGGAATCGAAAATTCTGGTATCATCTGAACTCTTGGAGGAGCAGCGCTCTATCAAAAGACATGAGAGAGAAAGGCTATTCTAGAAAGGGGAGTAGACATTTCAGTAGATCCACATTCGCATATAATCGAACATGGTTGGCAGGAATTCTGCACATTCACACTCCGACCAAACCTCACAGCAGTAAAAGGGGCAGATGAAGATGAATCATAGTAAAGGGACAGGCAGTAGATATCACCGGAGCAGTGATTCGTGAAATACTCCAATTACCTGCTGATATTCCCCCTTATGAAGATACGGCCCATTACATGATGGATAATACTCCAGAGGAAGAATTGCTAGCGGTGCTCTGTGAACATATATGGACAATAGAAAATCATGGATACTTGAAGAATTTCCCGGCCGCAGAATTAAAGCAAGCATACAAACCATGGTTCAATTTTATCTGCACCAACATGATGCCCATTAACAGCCGAGGATTAGTGACATTTGATGCAGCAATCTTGTTATATGCCATCACTATGAACGTACCAATAGATGCTGCAGACATTATATGCAGACAAATGCACCATTGCTTGGACTTAAGGCAAAAATACTGGTTCTTCCCAATCTTTGCTTCAAGGTTAATGATGAGAGCCGGTGTTCAATTCCTGCCAAGTGATGAAAGAGGAGATATTCCAGCTCCATGGAGTCTGCAAGGACCACCCGACCCTTACAACCCTTGATCACCCATGGAAGTACCTTGTTCCTTTTTCTTTTCTTTCATTTTTTGTTTCTGTACAGCTGAGTCTTTCTTTCTTTATTTTGTGCTGTAATCCGTGTGTTTAGAGTCCTTAGGATAGTTTGAGCCATTTATGTGTTTTAATTTTCCTATTTTTCTATTTAAATTGCATGAATTATATATATATATATATTCATGTGTTAGTTTCTTCCCCTGTTTTTTTTTTTTGTAAGCATTGGGGACAATGCTTATTATAAGTTTGGGGGAGGGATTTGTTTGAATTTAGTTATAAACTTTGACAAGATCAGTTTTTGAAAAACAACAAAAAAAATTTTAGTGTCTGAATGTGACTGTGAACAAGTTAATGTTTATACTATGTCAAAAGTCTATGATGATTCAAACATGTGCATAAAATTTTGAAATTTTTAAACACTTGTTGATCCACTTGAAGTAGTCCACAGTTCTTCGCTCTCACGAGCACAAAATGTCACTTGCCAGAGCGAAAGTTCTGAGCTTAACTTTAAAATTTGAATGCTTTAATTGCATTGTTGTGATCTCATACTGGACTCCACTTGTTTGAAACCTAGAAGACTATAATTCTAAGTGAAGACTAAGGTAGCCCTTCGCATCATGGCAGACTCTATAAAAGTCCATGGTGGTTTGTAAAAGTCTTAAAACCTTGGGAAAAAAGGGGTGTTGACAGTTGAAATTGAGTTTAAAAAGCCTGTCTAATGAGGCAGTGAAACCCCTGAAAGGTGCATTTTGGCAAATAAAGAGAGTGTCCTCAGGGCTGGTGAGAATTGAAAAAAGAAAATGTTTAGAATACCAAAAGTGCTGAAAAAAAAATGTGTGCTTGGTGTAGGCCTGAGTGCGAAAGATCCTGGAGAAAAGCCAAATGGACAAGGAGGAAAAGGTATGAGGGAGAAAAAAAAAATGCAGCCAATGTTAGTGCAGTTATGTGAGGAGGTCCTTAGAATCTAAAATTTCAGTGAGAATACCCTAGTTGATGACATGGAGAAAATAGGTACTGATCACAATAATGTCCATCTTGTTCTAAAACTGGTAAATTCTTAGAATGGATTATAGGTAAAACTTGAAAATTGTTGGACTAGTCTATGAGGCTGGGATGTTACACATGGTATCAGAGCGGACCCTGATCTAGGAGCTAAGTTCTACGTGCGGACACACCTCTGAGCCCACTGATGGGACAAATGCAGAGACACCGTTGAGCCCGCAGACGGGACAAGTGCGAAGTACGGGAGCCACCTCTAGAGTCATATTCCGGGAAAAGACTAGGCCACATTTTTGCTTGTTGGGATTTGCGAGGACGCAAAGATCCAAAGTGGGTGGGCTATAACATCCTGTCCCACATTGCTACCTGACAAAATGAATGATTTGTATATAAGTCTCACGCTCATAAACTACTAACAACTTGGGTTAACCATTTTGCACTAGCGAGGATGAAAGCCTGAAAGTTGTTGGGCCAGTGTATGAGGCTGGGATGTTACACGGGAGAAAAAATGTAGTTCGCCCTTAATAATTTATCTTTTGAGTACAATAAAATTTTATTATTTATGTTATAAATAGACTAGGTTTTCTCCTATCTGTTGCACGGAATATATTAATGTTCATTATTAAATCGATAATTAGTTATGAAAAAATATCATGTTCTTGATTAATAGCTGATTGTGAATTAGAATCTAAAAAGAAACGAATGACGCCAACGATATAGATTGAAAATTAAATGGTATTAATATTATTATAATTTAAATTTCTCTAAGTTTGAATATAAGAAGAAAGTTTCATTTAGATTTTTCTCGTAATTTTATACACGAGATTTCAATATTTTTTTTAAATTAGATTGGTATTAGGATGATTGAGTTTGAATATAATATAAGAATAATATGTTACTTGAACTTTTCTCGTAATTTACCCGTGAAATTTAACATTTTTAACCCCTGCTCAGAGGATATATAGTAGTATCTCCCAAACTTAGGAGGTTTATGGTAGATTAGGACAAAACTCGGGGGGTAAAATGTGGTTCGCCCTTAATAATTTATCTTTTGAGCATAATAAAATTTTATTATTTATTTTATAAATAGATGTGAGGGCACGCGCCTCGCGCGTCTAACCCGACTAGTAACTAATTAAACTCAGAGTAATTTTGCAACTACGTTTAATCAAGAAGAGTTTTTGTATCTGGAAATAAAAAGACATAATAAATAAACAGTTCATTTTGGCATAGAGGTTGATTGAGTTACCTTGTTAATGATCCAAGGTTCCTGAGTAATTATCGGCACTGGTTAAAACCATAGTAGAATTAAGGCTTCACATTTTTTAGCTCTGATCACATGTATGTAACAAGTATAACAAATACAGTCCTTTCCCTGAGGACGGAGGGAATGTAAGATAAAAAAAAAATGACCAAATTATATGGATTCGTCTCAACTTTGCTTGGGCCGTGAAACTTTTTAGAAGATGCATTAGAAGTGGAGATATAAAACTTTGCGGCCTTTTAGGGTCCAAGTTCTGGACCATTAAAGGTGAGTATTACACTTGTGTCTGTTTGGTTTTTTTCACATTTCAATCATCTCGTACTCATTTTTTTGTATATTTTAAATTTTTTTTTTTTACATTTCTAATATAATTATTTATATTTCCAATACAAAAAATATACATCATAGAATTCCCCAAAAGGAAATATATGATCATTGTGTGTATCCCTCCTCATCCCACCCAAAGTCCCAAAGTGAACTCTAAAGCTTCTGTTTGATCTGTCATTTTTAATGTGTATTTATATTTATACCAGGTTTAATACACATTTAAACATTTTCATTCGTGATCAAAACCAAAAAACATTCCATTTTGGACATATGAATATGGTCATGAACGCTGAAATCCTGCAAGTAATAATGTCAAAGCATCCAACCATCCACTATACGCAACATTCATGGATTCCACATAGAGTGCATATTAGACAGACTTTGGAGGATAGTGGTGTTGTACTATTGTTTTGAATGTGACCTTAACTGTTGAAGCCGCGTATAAAAGATATAATGTAAGAGTGCAATTGACCCCCTTATCTTAACAAAGATACACGTTTCGCATCCCAAAATAAAAAATCTAGTTCGGTAAGATTAAATTATCACTTCAATTGACGATAGATAAAAATATGTGACAAAACGTCCTCGTTGAATCATTTAGCTCTATCACTTTTTAAGTTTTTCAAGTTAAAAGAACCAATCCCAGCTATACAAAATTCATAAGAAATGGTTACACAGGAAAAGTCAAGTGGAGTGAAGATAGGGAAAGGCACAAAAAGGCAGCTAAGAAACAGTAACAGAGTAGCACAATTCGCAGCAAGAACGCGCTTCTAGTTACTTTATGCCATAAAATCAATAAAACCCCTGCAAAATTGGGTAGACATTATTTGCGACCGAAATTGAGTTGGTTTTGTTCATTATGTTTTTGTAAGAGCCAAAAAAAGAAGTACAATATGTTGAAGAGCTTACCAATATCCTTTATTCTGTTCATTTCTGTCATCCTCTTTCTACTCTTTCCATCCCAAGTCTTTTCAGCTCATCCCAAATGCCATTCCCAAGACAAGAAAGTCCTGCTAGAAATCAAGGCAGCCCTGAATAATCCCTACCACTTGGCCTCATGGAATCCAGACGACGACGATTGTTGTACCTGGTATTGCTTGGATTGCGACCTGGTTACCGGCCGTGTGATTGCCCTCACAATCTTCTCCGGGAACATCTCTGGCCAAATCCCACCGGCGGTTGGGGACCTTCCATACCTTCAAAATCTGGAATTCAGAAAACTCACCAATCTCACAGGCCAAATCCCATCCGCCATTACCAAATTAGTCAATCTCAGGGAGCTCACTCTGAGCTATACTAATCTCTCCGGCCCAATTCCTTCATTCCTCAGCCAGCTCAAGAATTTAACTTACTTGGATTTGTCATTCAACGACCTGACTGGTTCCATTCCCCCTTCGCTCTCGGAGCTCCCCAACCTCGATGCCATTCACTTAGATCGAAACCAGCTTACTGGAAGTATCCCGGATTCCTTCGGGTACTGGACCGGCAAAACCCCTGAAATTTTTCTCTCCCACAATAATCTCACCGGCGCTGTTCCTGCGTCATTCGGCCGTTTCCAATCCATGATTGATTTGTCAAGGAACAAACTCGAAGGAGATCCATCGTTCCTGTTTGGCAAGAACAGGACATCTTGGTATGTCGATCTGTCGAGAAACTTGTTCGAGTTCGATGTTTCGAAGATTGAATTTTCGGACAACCTGACGCACTTGGACTTGAATCATAACAGGATCTTTGGGAGTCTTCCAAAGGGGTTGACTCAATTGAACCTGGAATTCTACAATGTGAGTTACAACAGGCTGTGTGGCCAGATTCCACAAGGTGGGGAATTGCAGAGCTTCGATCTGTATTCATATTTCCATAACCGGTGCTTGTGCGGTGCTCCTCTTCCTCCCTGCAACTGATTTATTGACAAATTCATAAATAGCTGCAGTTCTTGATGGTCTAGAACCTTCCGGAAATGCTGTTTCGTTTCTATGTTGATAATAAAGTAAAAATTTTCTGTGTAAATATGAATAAAATCGGGCAATGTTTTTCTATTTTCTCCTTAGCTCTCATCGGCTTCGGTTTATTCTTCCGTACTCAGTTATCAAAAGTTATATTTAGTGGTTATTCAGTTAAAACTCGCAACCAAAGGGGATGGAGAAAAAACAAATGGAAAAACAGATACAGAGTGGGCGAATCAATTATACATATTTTTAAACTAGGATTAGAGGAAAATTAATCACTTGGACTCTATAATCGAAATATCAAACTCGGGGAGTTATTTATTTGTTTTTTGAAAAAATGATTTTAAAAATTACATCAAGAGAATATGTTTAATTAGTGAGGACTTATACCAAAAAAAAACAAAAACGCTCACAAGTGACAATCATGGCTTCGGGATCCCGCCGAGCAAAACAGGGGACAAGCATGTATTACGGATCCCGGCAATCCGATACATTTTTCCGTCCTCCGCCAGGTCATCACAGTGATTATTTACTAGAGGAAGTTCTCAATTCAGATATATCGGCAAGGTTGAATGCCCAAGGTCCACCCCTTCGAGTTTACTCTCCTCCTCCGTTCCCCCTTTCTGGTTTTCCGCCGAATAATCCCTTCCCTCGCCGCCGTCGACAGCAGCATCAGCAGCATCAGCATCAGCATCAGCATCGGCGACCCGATATTCCCGGCGGCGACCCTTTTTCATTGTCAAACTACCGTCCACATCCGGATCGTCGACAGCAGGATCGGTGGATCCCCCCTCACCTACCAAATTGTTCCATGGCCAAACTATGATTATTTTCCCCGCGTCGCTCATGTTAGTTATTCTTCTTTTTCTCCACTTGTTGTTTTATTTATTTTTTTTGGTGGGTTATTTCATCTGATGATCTTGTTGTTTGTTCATTTTTGCTTGTATTGAAGGGTGGGAAAGTCGTGCAATCACCAGTCGGTGGCCATCCCCGAACAGTACATGATTTCAGCTATCCCGAAGACAATGGGCCATCAGTTGTAGCTCTCCTTCTTCGAGAAGGGGTTTTGGTGGTGGTTAATCATTATCAAACTGGCCCAGGTTTGCTGTTAAAACCCTAAACCCTTTTGTATATTATTAGAAAAAAAAGTTGGTAATCATCATCCTCAGAAGGACGTTTGTTGCTCTTTAAACTGCTTGTTTATTATTCTGGTACATGATCCGAATTTGCATCCTCTGTGTATTTGGTGGTAAAGAGGAGAAATAAGCTCTCTTAGATTTCTTCAACCAATCAAATGACATCATTAGGATTATGCATTTGTGAGATGCTGTTCACTAATTAGTAAAGTTGGGATTCTCGCTGCATCCAGAACTAGCTTGTTTACTTGGGTAGTGGTAAGCCGGCCGAAGCATTTGGTGAAGTTAGTATTTAACTGGTCTATTCAAATTCATTAATTTTCAGATTCTCCCCAGCTGCTTTGTTCCCTAAGTCCTCGCATCGTTGCCACTATATCTGGAGGAGAGCTTCCGGACTGCCAAAAGTTGCTGCAAGATCTGCAGGCGATGGTATATATACATATATATATATATATATATATTTTGAGTGTTGAGACCTTTTTTGTCATCTTGTTCCTAAAATCATACGTGGTTTGATGATTGATTGTATACACTGTGTATGCTAGTGTAATGACCATGAACGTGAGAAAGGGGGTGAGATTTCTCTTCAAGATGCATTATGCTTGATGACTCGCACACTGGCTTCTCGACCTGAAGTGGGACTAATTGCAGGGTGGGATGACACAAAGGTATTATTACTACAGTATTATTCTTTCTTTGTGTTTTAGGCTCTGTTGTGATTGTTTGATTCAGTCCTCCTACTCCTAGGAATTACGACTCGTTTCTTTCTTCTGGTAGGACTGTCCTGCCTTGTACCGTGTAGACGGTTTCAAGGGACTCATGAAAGGGGAAATAATAGCCACCGGAACTGGATTTAGACGAATCTATGGTACACTGAACTTGAATGCCATGTTCAGCATGAGTAATGAGGGTCCTCTTAAGTCTTGGCTGAAGGGTTTTCTGCACAATGAGCTTAGTCACAAGTATGCCACTTTTTTTCCTTATTCTCTTACTCATTCTACTTTACTTTTTTTTTGTTTAGTATTGATACCTGTCACATTTCAGTCGTCTTGATTTGTTTTTGTCAAATTTCAATCATCTTGATTTGTTTTTTTTTGTTCTTTTTTTTTCTGGGGATAGAAACTATGGCTCTTGGTCTTGTTGGGCTGTTGACGAAGCTACAAAATTTGCCCTAAGATGTACATGCTATGTTGCAGCTGATATTGAGGGAACTGGAGATTTCATTAGCGGTAATAATATTTGCAGTGCCCTTGTATCACTTTCTTCAAGTTATAGCCTAGGATCTGATAGCGATCATTTTTTCCTCCAATGATGAAGTGCATTTGTTTGTTGTTTTTAAGTGTACCACGTTGGACGTCATGGGTTGGACCACGTCCGTTCTGGCGAGCCAATAAAAGAGGTTCTGCAGACCATTGGGGTAGATATGCCAAAGAGGATTGAGTATACTAGGGTGCCTCCTCCTGCCTACCTTCCTAAGCTCCCCCCGTTGCCTCATTTTCTTCTGAAGCAGCTCCAGATACGTCAAATCTGAGCTCTATCATGTGATCCTCTTTGAATTTTAAAATTGGGGTTTCTGATTTCGCGCATGGTTTTAGTTGATTTCTTTATGGTACTGAAGTTAATCGATCAGCATCTGTTCGTGTATGTAAAGTGGAGTTCTTTATGGTATTGAAGTTAATCGATCAGCATCTGTTCGTATATGTAAAGTGTGGAACGCGAATTCTACGTAACTTTTTTGTTCATTGTCGTCAGCTCACCATGATATTTCTAGTTAGAGAAGATGGCTAGTTTATATGGTTTTGAACTGAGTTGAGGTCCTTAATTTTTGGTTCATTGACCGAAATTCAATTCAGATTTCTTTTGTTGGTATTTATAATTTAACTTCGAGACTAATTTGGTTTGAGACAATACTGCGGACAAAGAGAAACTTAACCAATTAGCTCCACCATAACGGTCAGATCTGTTCTTAGAACCGATGTCCTTTAAGTAAAAGGCCATTTTTTTATGATGTCCCCCTTTTCCAACGAATTTAGGAACAAAATTTCCGTTATTTCCTGAAGCCTTCAGTATACTTGGCTGGAGCACCGAAGTCAGACGAATTGAAACAGACCATTTCTAGTGGGGGGACTTGAAGCGATCTTCATCAGGGAGAGGGACAAAAATGATTTGATCAAAACTGCCAGGCTCCAAAAAGCGCAGGATCTGTGTTATCATATTGAGTTATTGGGTGTAGTCATAACTTTATTAGGTACACAACGAATCGTAATTATACCCATTAGACTTGGTGTGGCCTCTTAAATGACCCTTAAGACTTTATGATAAGGTTCGAAATTGATCTTTACTCTAGCTTAACAATTTTGTAGTTGGTTGGGATATATATACTATGGTATTCCCACTTTGTTGTTGGTTATAAAAAGAGTGATGACGATAGAGAAATTTAACTTTGGTGATGAGGCTATATAATAACACCTAACAAGTGAATCATGGGTTGTTCTAGTGGATAAGGACAAACCCACTCAACCTGAATGTCACAAGTTTGAGTCACACCATAGGCATTTTAAAGTGTCTTTACTGCAGGGAGTATTGTGACAAGACCTAGTCACCTCCTCACTCTATAGAGGTGCCGATTCCCTGAAAAACTGCATTGTGACAAGACCTAGTCACCTCCTCACTCTATAGAGGTGCCGATTCCCCGAAGAGAATGCAGTTGAAGTCCAGTTTGGTTAGCTGGCGCAACAGACCCTCGAAGCAGCTATGTCGGTAAATGGAGCGTAATAGTATAAGTATCTCAAATTATAATCTCTTAAAAAAAAAAAACACCTAACAAAAAAAAAGAAGTGAGAATTCAAAAGAGATATTTTTTCTACTACAGCATAAAATCACTTTAATACAAAACTCACGTTTCAGAGAAAACAAATCTCAATATTTTCTTGACCTTTTCTATAGTGTGGCTTTCTTTTTTAACTGAAACAATCAATTAAGTAAAAGAAATTAAACAAGATCTAGGTCAGGACTTCATCCAAAGTGTTTGATGGAAATTTTTTTATTTTTAATTTATATACTTCTCCGATTCAAAATAATGGTCATATACAAATTTTCATTCTAGCACAGTTTGAACCGAAAGTGAAAATCTAAACCTCAATTAACCACTAATTAAATACCTTTGATGCTGTAAGACCAGGTTGAGGGCCTAAACCTACATCATGATAATCTCTTACGGCTTCTAATATGCACCCAATCCTCTAAGTTACATCATGAAAGAGCAATACTGCATTTGCAATTGAGTTGAGCTCTTAATTTCGAATATAGACATAAAGGAGCGCTAGCACAGAAAGAATAAACACACACTCAAAACATGGAGAGTAATTATTATTTTCCCTACTAACAAACATCATTTCCGACTACATTCAATCATTCAACCGCAAAACCAAAATGAGCCTATATGGTAGTCGAGCCATTTTTTTTCAAAAAATAGTTATTATGAACTCAAAATAAGTAGTTAGCAATTGAAGAGAAACCTATAGAGTAATAAAACATTAAAACTAGGAGTAAAAGGTCGCTAAGAAAGAAAGGAAATTCAAATCATAATGAAAACCAATAGAGATTGAGATTTCTCTACATATTTTTTGTAACCCTAAATATAGGCGAGATATCACATATATATACACAATAATTAATTTTAACACTGTCAAACCATGGCTTTCAGATCCCGTCCTCGTCGCGAGCGATTGTTCAAACACAATTCTGTTGGTCCGAATTTGGGTGTTTCACAAGAACCGGTTATAACAAATGTTTTTATAATAAAATAGAATAAAATATTAAAAATACCCCTGACTTAGTAGGGTCAACGGTCATCAAGACGGAAATGGTGACGGAACAGTGAAAAGCGACCAAAAAAGTTTCAAATGAAATATAAAGGCTCAATCTATATACATGTTGATGTAGGAGACTAAAATTTAAATTTGGACAAATGTAGGGGAACATTTAAACATTTGTTATTTTGATCTTATATGTGTCATTCCGAAAATATCCCTTACTTGGTAAGGTCAACGGTCATCAAGACGGAAATGGTGACGGAACAGTGAAAAGAGACCAAAAAAGTTTCAAAATGAAATATAAAGCCTCAATCCATATACATGTTGATGTAGGGGACCAAAATTTAAATTGGGACAAATATAGGGGACCATTTATACAGTTTAGTCTTTTATATATTGACATTGGATTTGTTTTGTCTCTTAGATTATGCTTTGGGTTTTATTAGAATTTAAATTTAGAGTCTGTTGTTGGCTGAGACATATCCCATTGCCTGCTTTTTTTGTTGGCTTTAGTTTTTTCTTTTGGGAAACGCTAAAGCATTATACTAGTATTATTAATTATAAGTTTTTTTTTTTTTTTTGGGGGGGGGACATTCGTATTTTTCATGTTGATTGTCCAGTTTCAATTTTTAATTTTAGTATAGTTTAAATTAAAAATAAAAATACAAATTATATACAAATATTTCGAGACGGATGAATAGGTACTCAACACTCTTTAAACAAAGATCTCCATTCGCTGGAAATGATCACTCGGTTACGGAAAAAGCAATATTTCCTACCTAGATATGGAACTTGCTAATTCGAGTATTTTGTTAGCTATTGACCTTACAGAATGAGTGGGAACCTAACATGCAATAATTCGATGGTACGAAAATGGCAAGCAAGCAGACAGACTTTTTTCTTTTTTTTTTTTTTTGGAAAATTAGCAGACAGGCAATAGGAAAACTATACTATATACGTATATAATAAGGGGTTAAAAAAAGAAAACTCCAAATTTTCGGACTGAATTAATTATTTGAAAAAGAATTCTTTCTATATTGTCTAAGTTTACATGCATACACATTCTTCTACCACTATCACTTACATGTTTAACGAAAGATCCAGAATAACTGGTGTGACATTTATTCATTCGATAAATTTTTAAAATACTCCTCACGTACTTAATATAAAGCATTTTGATTTGTCTTAAATTTAACTTAATAGTATTTTTAATTAACCAAAAAACTTTAAAAATATTTTCCAACAGTCAGATAACACAACGAATGTAAAAACATATTTTTAAGGTTTTTTCGTTAATTAAAAATACATATTAGGTTAAACTTAGAACAAATCAAAATGTTTTATATCAAATAATTTTTTTCCCATTCTATTTCAGTCCTTTCCATCTCGCCGGTGTGAGCAATCATCAGCACATCGAATCTCAGCCCGGTGCTACCAAACACACGTCATCACTTTCAGGCTCCAAGATCAAATCCACAACCAAAATACCTGTTTTTTTGGGATTGCTTTCTTACAATTTTTCAAGATCTTTACGCAATCTTCATCATTCCAGTCATGCAGTATCCACTACGTTTATCATCAAGAAAAATAAATAAATAAATAAATAAATATTGTAAGCGCAATCAGTACTAATTTCTACATATTTTACGGTTCCTTTCTCCTAAAAAATGGTTTATTACATTGAACTAAAATAATATAAAAGAATTAGTTATTAATTTTCTAGGACTGGGTGACCATAATATAGAATAAAAAGTATTAGAACATTATTTTCCTTTATCCGATTTCAATGTTCGAGCATGAGCAATTCATGAAAGAATCAGGAAACACACACTGACCGTAAACTCTGACCATTTTGACAAAATTGCTATCATGAACAAGAAAAAAACACTGTTGCTCGCAGATCACAAACCACAATATGGACTGTTTTTGTGGATTATAGAGAGAACAACATAGCCCGACATTATAGAAGAAGCTAGCACTAATACTGCAAAGAAAAACAACTTCGATGAGGGTTGAACATGACATTATTGACTAGGCTAGATCATCATCAAGTTGCAACCTTCTACAACTTAGTGGCAAGATTAAACAAAGTTGAAGCTAGACCAACTCTCCACCAAGGTGTCGCAGATGCTGGTGTATTCTTGGATATAAGAGAAGGCAGACCATCTTGAATGTTGCTCGCGAGTGTGTTCTCCGGTTTGCAACTTGTCACAGTGAACCTGTGGAGCACACTGAGAAATTCAGAACTCTGCCACTGATATGGCTGGAAGCAAGCTGATCGTATATTCAGAATAGGATGCACAGAAGAGGCATCTGCAAGAAAAGTAAAAGCTATTCTCCAAAAGCTTGAACAATTAGCATTTAGACTCCATCATGTCAGGAAACAATCCTATACTAGAAAACCAGAATGTCCTTTACGCATCACTGACTCATTTCTAACTAGTTTTCTCCCCCATCACTAATTTGTTCTGGCTAATAAACGGATTTGCATAACGGTATCTAACAACTGATCACTCTCTAAATTTGCGGCCTTCAGTAAAGTGTGCATATACTATATCTCAGAATAACAATCCATACAAAATCTAACATAACTGATGATGGAAAACAAAAACTACAAAAGAAAATCAGGTCATTCGAGATTCATACATGCGAGGTGCAGGTCCTTCATATGCAAAGGTTGCCATTCCCTGTCGTTGCTTGTGCTTAGGATTGCCAGAGCAGATCACATAAATTCTGCCACGACGTTTAACTATTTGACAAAATGCACACATCTTCTTAACTGATGACCTCACCTTCATAGCTGCTCAAATTCAAGCCAAGAACTGAGAAAGGAAACCCATGTTGGCTAAAAGATATACAACCAAGACATATAATATGCATCCCACACATGGTTATACCATTAAAAGAAATACAAGCAAGAAGCTTTATAGGGATTGGGTGATCCAAAAGAACCAGTCGAAGTGAAAAACAAACCATTAAAGAAAGGCATGATCATATCTGCAAGAACTACCAAATAAGCAAACAGTCTATTCCAATTAGTAGGAACAATTGGAGCACACCATCATTTAACTCGCTTTTTTAGATGCTCAAATGTGAAATGTCCTCCAATCAAACATAACCATATACTCACAGAAAATAAACAACCATATGATGTGATGTCCCCATATAGCTCCAGAATCAGACAACCAACATCTGTGAATGGTTCTTAAAATACTTTCAGTTTGACAATGTCACGAGTTAGTTCAATACGTCTTCAAATCTCATTATCACCTCTTAGGGTAAAACGGTTCTTCAACACCTCAGAGTCTAGCATATGAAAACGAGATCTTTCTACACATTCAATCCTCTGAAGCCATTATAATGAATTAATTTTAATCTTAATAGGTTTAGATTTCTTTGGCTAAACAGAGAAAGTTGCCACCTTTTCGGCAAAATACCCCCTTTCTAGTCATTCCAACCAACTTAAGCCTCACATATGATCCAGGATAGCCAGCTAATAACAACTAAAATCCACGTCTCCCTCATTTAGAAATTCATATCATAGTGCAACACAGCATAAGAAAATTCTGAATATTTAATGCCTTTATAATTTCTCCAGGAACAAAAACCATGAACCTCAGAAACCAAAACCCAGAAAACATTTGACAAGCTAGTCATTCAAAAGACAAAATTAAGATGTCCACAGTGACAAACGGAGATCCCAAATAAAAACCTAAAATTCCTAATTCCTTATCAGTAAAAAAGAACAGGAAATCAGGGCAGGGAATCAATTAGAACAAAACCTTTAACTCATCACACGCGAATGAAACAGAAATCATACAGTAAAAATTTTCCAGTGTAGTGAGGGCGTACAAGATTGACAATGGAGGGCTGTTTCCGGTGATTTTCACGGGTTGAACCTCGTCCGGCGGGTGAAATAATCCCGAGAATCATCAGCATGGTCAGTTCAAATCACACAAATTGGGCTAAATTTTTTAATTAGCCCAATTCATAACGAAGTCGTAACAGGCTGCATTTTCTGTAGCCCAAATGTTGACTTAAACCGTTTTCTTTTGGGTCCTCATTTTGGCCCGACTGAAAGTGCAATCACTCCGCCAGATTAATTAGTGTTTTTTTTTTTTTTTGTAAATTTAATTAGTTTTGCCAGAAATGTACAATTAACAGTAGGGAAGAATTGTCAAAATACATAAGGATAAATCATCATGAACTCTTTGGTTTATTACGGTTAGTGTTTGATCAATGGGACCTATTAATAATTCTTGACCTCTAATTTTTTTTATCGATGAAAATATTCTACAACTTTTAGCGATCAGATACAGTTAAGAATCTTTTGCGCTATTTTTCATCTATGCCCATGTTACACTCTTTTTATACATTGATGATATATTGATCCACGTAAAGCTAACTCTACCTCGTGAATAAAAAGAAAAGTGAACATTAATGAATTGATTCCCACTTTTCTGTACAGTGTACACTATTGCAGAAATGTTTTTTTCCCCGTATTTAATAAGATCGATCTATCTTAGAAAAACAGTGACTATCAATCTCTTCCAAATATTTCAGGTTTTCGATATAGTAATACTACTAATAAATGCTTTACTTACCAGCTTGTTGGCGAACCAGAAACAATTGCGTGTTAGTGCACCGGTGTTTATGGTAACCAGACAAACATTTTGATTAGAAAAAATCAAAGGAAAGGATCAGTCAATTAATCGGGTGTCATTTATTTACTTTAGTGAATATTATTGGGAAAAGAAAACTCAATTATTGGCTGCCAAAATGTTTAAACCTTATCTAGAGAATCTTCCCGTCAGCAATTCTTCTTTTTACCACTTGCTACTAATCACAATGTAATTATTTATAATATGTTCTTTCCACCTATGACCATTCGGTAACAAACCTCAAAAAAAAAACAATAAAAACGACGTTTGAAGCCATTTTCATGGCATCACTAGCTTCATTTAGACACTGTGACATCGAGAGATTAGTAGATTGAGGTACTAATTAAACCGCAAATATTAAACTTTCTCCGTCTAAAAAAAGTAGTGCACTTAGTTTATTATATTATTTTAATTTCACAAGGTGAACCTATCTTAGACAAAAATAATATTTCTTCTGTTCTAAAATTATTGTCCAGATTGATACTATTTCAATTTTAATAAAATTTAAACTATAAATGGAAACCCAAACTGGACGATAATTATGGAACGGAGAGAGTATAATGTAACAATAACAACCTAACTAATGCAATAAATATCGAGTGCTAAAATTGATGAAAACTGTTACTTTACTTTAATAAATTAAGGTAAGAATGAGTAATGACGTGACGCAAGAAATTAGAAGGTGTCACTATTTTATTAGACGTTCTTGACTAGGAAAGTACCTTGGATTTCATAGTTGGAAGTAACCCAAAAAAAATTTTGAGTTGAATGCATCAAAAGATTATTTTTATATAAAAAAAAAAATGACGAAAGCCTTTTACTTTAATTTAATGAAGCATCTCGAACCAACTAGCCAACTAGGAGCGTGATTAATTTACTTCCATATCGAAATTAAAAATTGACCAAGTCACAAAATTGATTAGGTCATAGTAGAAAAGAGGATCTTGAACATTAAAACGGATATAAAATAAACCCCAGATACGCAGTTACGCACGCTACATGCTGATTGATTTTTATTGGAGCATTTTAAAAGTGGGAAGAGGGATAGCCATCCCAAACTTATTGACTTAGGAGGCATTTGTTTTGTCACTTGAAAACGGATTCAGGAAACAGTTTTAAATGACGGCGGATTGGATTCGAATAATCACGAATTCATGGATTCGAATGATGCGTTAAGTTTAATATGTATGGATTTGTTATTATTATATATTTTAAAACAAAATAAAACAAAAAAAATAAATTAAAAAAAATCTGTTCTTCCCCTTCCTCCCTCCCGACGGCAGCCACCACTTTGCCCACCAAAAAACCACCATCACCATCCATCTTTGCCGATCACCATTTATAAAATTTTATAGCCCATTCATGTTCATGTTCATGTCTACCACATTCTCCAATTCCCAATCCATCGCCTCCAACAATCTCATCCATCTTCATCTTCAATATGCCAATCATAACCAATCACCAAAGAGCTAAAAAAATCCAGCACAATTTATGTTTCTACCGATTAAATATGCTTTTTTCTAATTACCATAAACAGGTTAAAGACGGAGCAATTAGATTTTAAGGCTGAAAGTTTTCAGATTATAAAAAAAATTTAAAAACAAATTCAAAATCTAAACCCCAGATAGCTTCCATTGTGCAATCCCCAAACCAACAATTGCAGCCCTTATCTCATTATCTCTTCCTATGCTCTAACAATTGCAACCCTTATCTCTTTTTTAATGGGAAGTTTCGTTAATTTCTTTTGGAACCTTTGCTTTGAGGGGGATTAATCTACCTGTGAATTGGCATGTACACAACAGATCTAGATCTGTAGATTATCAAGGTTGGATAAGTCAAGGCATCAGGATTGAAGGAGGATGAATCTACTACTACGGGTGGTGGGAAAAGAGTGGCTGGTGACGGTGACGGTGGCCGCGGTGGTTATGGCTGCAAGCAGGGGTGCGGGATTTACCCATTTGGAGGAGAAGACGACAAGAGAAAGAAAAGAAATAATTAGGCAGTTTTAGTAAAAAAAAAAAAAAGGTGCAAAAAAAATGGGCGGGGTATTCAACCTGAATACCGAGGGTAGGGGTGGGATTCAATCATTCGGATTCAAGTGATTCCTAGAATTCCGATTCCCACTATCTAAACAGCGGTAAGGAATTGAATCCCTTTCCTTAAATCCGATTCCAGCCTACCAAACGGCTCCTTAATAGAGTCTACGAGTTTACTTATAGTAGTAATATAGTGCGAAAAGGGTTTTACATAAAGAGACGTGTAAAAATAAAAATAGAATGTATTAGAAAATATTATGCACGAGTCATTCTCACAGTCATATTTTTTGAATTTTTCTACTAACGAAATGCACTTTGTGAGCGAACGTAAAAAAACTAAAGAATTTATTTTAACGTAATATTCCCTTCGTCTTATAATTATTGTCCAGTTTGAGTTTTAATTTTTAGTTCAAATTAGTGACGGAACTAGGAGGGACGGAGGGGTGCGGTCGCACCTACTCAATTTTTTGTAATTAGTAGGAATATCATAAATTTTCAATAGAAACTATGTGTTAAATAATATTTCGCACCCCTACATTGATTTTTTAATGTCATTAGTAATTTTGTCGAAATTTCGCGCCCCTAATATTGATTTCCTGGCTCCGCCACTGGTTTAAATTGTACTAAAAGTAAAATTTCAAACTTGACAATAATTTTGAGACAGAGGGAGTATATAGTAATTTTGGAACACTAGTATCATCACTTTTTGATTTGGTGTGACTATTGTGTATGATTTAGGCTAAAGCTTTAATGTATACGTAATGGCTTTCTTTCCAAATAATAGTTTGTTGGAATAATGCGTATAGAGTAACGTAAGGATCCATTGAAGATGTTGACCTGAATTTCGTGGAAGGTTCCGAATAACGTCATTTTTAGAAATAATCTAGTAATCGGTGTCGGATTATGGGTGTAGACCTCCGTAGAGAGCGGCGCCACCAAAGCTTCTTTTTTGTTTTTGGTGTTTTTTCTCTCCAAAGTAGTGTGTGAATTAAACGTCCTTCAAAAAAACAAAAACAAAAAGTGTGTGAATTAAGGGCCGTTGCAAATGATCCTGTTTAGTTCAATTAAATTCGAATTAGGTATGATGAATTGCATGTTTGGGACGAAAAGCAATTCTACAATGATCAAAATAAAAACATGCAGAAGAACAAAACACGACGAGAGAATATTATTATTACTTGAAGCGGTTCAACACCAATTGGAAAACAAAGTTCAGAAATTCATTCCATAAGATATCAATCACTACAGAAGTTTTAGCAAGCTTTGCGAAAGAATGAGCAATAACTTACTCGCCGCTCAAATGATGGGGGAGGAGTCTCCATGCACATGCGCTACCGCATCAGAAAGATGTAGCCTCCTATATAGCTGCAATTCTTCACGAAGAGCTAACACTTCTGCTTAGTTAGGATCAACCACATCCATAAACTGACGAGCCAAGCCATGCTTGAAATTTCCATTCGCATCTTGAATGAGAAATCCGGCGCCAGCACTACTCTTGCAGCAGAAATGGAACCATTAAAAAAAATAAAAAAATACGTGTAATTAAAGTATCTCCCGATTTTCGATACTTTCCGATTGAGGCTGGGATCATTAATTTTTGATTAATTTGTTGTTAGTATATCCTTTGTTGTTCGTGTTCATTTTTCGATTAGTTATCTCTGTTCAATTATTAATAGGATTATTTCTTCTACGTATAGGGCCCTTCATATTAGTGATAAATATATTTTTTGCCGCAAGGATAAATATATACGATTGTATATTAAAATGACGGAAATTAATTTTTATTCTGTATTTTCTTTTGGGGGTGCGGGGAAATACAAAATCATTATTCTGCACCATCAGTTGTTTGGTCAGGAGTATACAATAGAAACTGAATTAAAATTGGTTCTCCAGAAATCAGTATTGGCAATGAAATCAAAGGGGAAAAAATGAAAAAGATTATAAAGGATTATTGAGGGCACCTAAGATAAAATTGAACCTCAACCAGAGGTTAATTCGATTCCATAAGTACGGGACAAAGGGAAAAAATTATAGTCTCAAAATGATTGTTCAGTTTAAATTTTTACTTTTGTGCTCTTAAATTTTCACACTAGAAATCACTTTTGTGCCCACCAAAGTGGTTGTGGTGGAGTGGAAGGGATTCCTCCATTCTTAACCATAGGTCGAGGGTTCGAACCTTCCCATGAGCATAGAGTAATCTTAAATACTTTGACCAGCTGTTCAACAAGAGGAATTAGTCACTGTTGCCGACGGTAGACACCCTGCAAATAAAAACTAAACAATCAT